ACTAAGCTGTTTTACACAAGTTGCAATGTCAAAGATGAACAAGTCAGCCTTTGGATTTTCATTTGAAGGACGAAGGCAGGCTATGAAAGCCAAACAGCATGTTACTGAGCTGCCACAGGTTCAAGGAGATTGGATCACTTTTTGTTTGTGCGTGGCCTCAATTCAGCTTTTACAAAAAGAGCGAGAGACTAGGAGAGGACTGAGAGAGAGCAGTCTTTGTAGGGTTGAGGGGAAGGGGTGGATGAAAAAAAAATTGCCTTGGTGCATCAGTTTTTTTTCTGTTTGCAACTGCAGCTATAAATGTATCTGGGAGATGAGCTATTTGTGGCAGGCTGTGCCACAAGCAGGCCTTTTCTTCCCTCTGTTGCTCTGATGAGTTAGCAGGACCTGGAGTGATAAAGCTGATAGAAGGGGCTGCTATCAGGTGGCAGTCTGGGTAATTACAACTCTCTATTTGGGGCTTTGCAGTGATGCTGTGGCGATAAGGGGAATATAATGAGGAAGAAAGGCCGGTGATAATGTATCTGCTAAATGGCTCAAAATAGTCGATCATGGGAAAAGTCATCTCAGAGCCCGGAGGCAAACACGTATCTGTGGATTTGAACCACAGGACACTGTGACAGAGAACATGTGGACGGTTTAAGGCGAACACACGCCCTGTGGGGGGGCAGTGGCAATCAGAGTTAAAAAATCTGACTTTTCACAAAGGGTAGGATAGTCCGTCTTTTAATGATACAGGAAGTCGTTTGATTGCCGCTGCTATTTTGTTTGCCCCTCGGGGTGTGTAGATATTCTGCAGCATGAGATTACATATAATACTTTGACAAGCGGTGGTCTAAAGATGGTCTTATCAGCTTTGTGGACTCTGCATCCTTCTGTGGAGCCATTCTCCTCCTATAATGTGCTTTCAAAGTTTGTTGTATCCGTCAGGTTCAGGTCCTCAGAGATTGAACTGACAGCCACTCCTCTTTCCTCTCTCTTTACCATCATTCAAGCATTCTCATACACTCTGTCTGTCTCTCACTCAATCCTCCAGTGTGCTCCGTTGTGTACGGCTGCTTTATTGTGAATTACAGATTCCCTCACTCAGGGATCATGACCACTATCAATAGTATTTTCACTAATGTGATTAAGTTAATACTGTGCTCTATGAGAGGATTATTTCTCAATTCCTCTTGATATGCATAATATTTAGGTTGTGGTTGAGTAAATATTTTGGTGAGGAACCAAAATATTTCCCGCTGAGACAAAGACGTGAAAGTCTGCCCTCAGGTGCAATAAAGACTGTAAAATTAGAATGATTAAGGAACTGCACAACTAATTTGGCACTTATTGAATATATTTTCAGAACACAACATTGGAAATAGGTCACATATTTAAACCACGACAAATATTAACTTTATTCCCATTAATTATGTATTAATTTAGACAGCCTGTGTGACTCATTTAAAGTGATGCTGAAGTTGGCATTGTCTCGTTACCAATCCCATCACTGTATTGCCTTCCACTTAAGCGTATTTTCTACTATTGTAAAAGCTGTAAAGAAACCTCATTAGACAAAATGACTTCTAATCTAAATGCAATCATCTTTAAATAGTAATCAATTGGATCCCTAGCAACACTAAACTGTTTGTCATTAGCACTTTATCAAAGGCTCACTTAAGATAACATTGTGCAGCTAATGCTGTGTGATAGTGACAAATCGGCTTTCAGTGCTCTCCACATCATGGGGGAACAGTTTTGTCCTTCAGTGTACAATATGTTACATGGCTGAAAAATGTATTTACATCTTTTTTGTTGTTGTTGTTCTTGTTTCCTTGTTCAAAATGTGTGTAATATGAATACATTTGGCTTAATCTTGCACAACTGGAATTTATTTTAGCCAATGATTAATTTAAAAAAGGCAACATGATGAAAAGAGTTGACTGAAAATATACAGTAATTATGTTTGAGTCGATATTATAATTTTCCCTCTTTAAATCTGCAATATTATAATATCAGTCATGCTTTTAAATACATTTTAGCTAAATGGATAAAATACTTTGGTTCACATTTGTGTTGCTCGTCTGTAGAATAAATCCTTAATCAGAAAATCTGCTGTATAAAAAGTTAACTGACTGGCATGAGTATAAAGGGATTCATGGAAATCACCAGATGAACATGAGATGACTAGCTTTTATTGTGAAGGTGCATTTACTGCTGCTTCTGCCCCCACCTTCATGAGAAAGGGGAAGATCCAGGCAGAGCTGTGATCAGACAAGCAGAAAGAAACTAGATCAGATACACGATCAGGACCCCTCCCTCGCCCTTTCTCCAAACCTCCCCGATAATGAGCAAACTTTCATGTAACTACTCTTCCTTTCTGTGTGGTTTGAAGTGGCAAACAGAAGATATTGTTATCTCTGCTCACTTGTTTTTCCAAAGAGAGAAAAGCCAACTGATATCAAGAGGTCAACTTGTGTTGTTATGAAATCAATTTATGTAGAGTCCCTTCCCTCCAACTCCAATGGGAGACTAACAGCAAACTCTGAAAAGAAAGAGGAGGTAAAGCACTCATACTACAAAATTCTTTATAGATGAAGGCTTTTTATGGGATTATCCAGGGATCCTCATCAACTCTCTCTATAATTTGTTGTGCTTTCTCCCAGAGTTAGTGGAGTGTTGAGCAGAATAAACTGTTTGGTGCTATCATGAAGATTCTTGCACCTCCAGGGGCTCCTATTTCAGAGTGATGGCTTTAGCGCTTTAGAGTGAACTGTGTGCGATCTCTCCGGGTAGGAAAATGTCCCCATGGGCTTGTTGTTGCTGCTGTCTGCCTTCTATTTGCATGATATTTTTCTATTCAGTCTTATCATCAGTGTGCTGTGAGGTGGGAGTGCTGGCTCCGTCTCAGAGGCTGGACCGAGTCTTTATCGGCAGGTAATTCCCCCACTCTCACGAACTCGTCTTGAATTATTTAAGTGTTATTTCCAGGACCCAGGCTGAAGAAAAAGAGGGAACACACACACACACACACACTGGGGGGGGGGGTGTTGCTGCTGTTATATTAATTTATTTGATCAGATTATAATTAAATTACAAAATCAAATAAATTATTAAATATTTTTTTTCTCTTTCTGCAAAATAATAATCTGTCTGGTGAAATAGATACAACGAATTTTTGGCGTTTTGACGAGTAGAGAACATGCTGATCGCTGCACCTGCTGCTGTCAACGCAGGCTCATCGAGGCCCAGGCGTCATGTGAGACCCTCCAACATCCTGGGCGCAGGACGGCGAGGACCGTGAAACAATTCTACAAACTATAATAATAATAAATAAAACTACACTGAAAAATAAAATAGATATATATATATATCTCCAAAGAGCCCAGTGAAAAATAAGCATGTGCTCGCACACTGGAATGCGCACCTGTGTAACTCTCAAATCGCGTTGATACTTTTCCACCGTAACTTACTCATATGATTCATAGCGATTTTTGGGACACAGGTTGACTCCTGCGGAGCGAGTGGAGCGCGTCCTCACAGGACCGTTATCGAGGTGGATGACAAGCCGACAAAGGGGCGCACGGTGTTGAGAGATGCTGCGACTCGGTTTAGGCAGCAGCTTTGTCTCTCATCTGCTCCTTTTGGGCGCGGATCACTCTCACCTTGTCAGGTTTGCTACTTGACACAGAAGAACGAACCTTCGGTGAGTTTGTTTTCCTCTGCTGCAATAAAACAGCACTAATCCTTGTTAACAGAACATTTAAAACAATCTCAGGCGCATCATGCAGCAAACAAAACTGGCGCTGTCTTGTAAATTGCGCGTCAGTTTGGGATAGGTTAGCGTCATCATTCAGTCCCCCCCACCCCCCCGGTCAATAAAATTCCGACACATTGTTAATATTAAAAGTAACTATTTGCCCAATTCTTGTATTTAATAAGAATAAAATAACATAAATCTACATTATATATTGTGTAAATTGTCCCTAGATTAACCATTAGAAGAACAACAGTATGAACTGAACTTGACATCCGTTTATATCCTAATTTAAACTCTTGACCTACAGCCTAATTCGTCCTTTATGTTGTTTGATACAGCCCTTCCTTCTCGGTTTCTTTTTTCTTTCTTTCCTTTCTTTCGTTTTTGTAAGCAACTGGAAAGGTGCGAGAACAAACCACTTAAACCTACAATTTACTCAACAAGTCCTGTAGATAACTATAATTGCTTAGTTGAATATTCGACGACCTCATTTCACTTGTCGATTCGCTGCCCTTGGGAAAGTCCTTTGAAGTGAAAGTGAAAAGAAGGATTTCCAGGAAAGTAATTAATTTCACCAAGCGCGATTAGAAACACCTCAGCCCTCCTCCACATGTGCGTATTTACGACAAAATGCCACCATATCAAAAAATTCAAGAAGACGTTCTTTACCTTTCTTGTCTTTACACTTTACAATGGCAGTGCCACCCATGGGGAATGAAGGGACAGGCGCGACAGGCGTGAGAGGTGGCAAAGTGGAGTGATACCAGCATGTTCGTGCGTAATGATAAATGCTTGAGAGCGTGCGCTTGTTTTCCAGGTGTTTGATGGCTCAGACTGAATGTGATTTCAGACTCGTGTTTAACAATATGCACCTGTCGGCTGCAGCCTAAATCTGTCAGCGTGTTCAAAAGGGGCTCGTACATGCTGCCATCCTCAGGTACTTCAGGTGCACCCGTCGCCTCAGAAAAGTTCAAACAAACAATTCTGATTTGTCAAGTTGCTCATTTGAATAAATTGAATTCAGCAGATGAATCTAATGATCTCAATCCATACTGAAGACAGCGCTCTCCTCTGCCATGATAAATAAAGATACAGGCTATATCCTAATAGCAGATGCGTTTCCCCCTTCAAACTCAGGGTGGGATTTAAAAAAAAAATCGCTCAGCACTGGTCCGCGTGTGCAGCGCTGCTGCGCATGCGCCAATGGCACTTTCACTACCTGCCACACAACCCTGTATTTCACATGGGGCAAGCGGGAGTCATCATGCACTTGCGTAGATGCTGCTGCTGAGTGGTGTTTGACAGTCTCAGGCGACAAGAGGAAAACAAGACAGCGTTTTCCCCTCTCTCCTCCGAGCTTAAGGCGAATCACCGATGGGTGCCACCATGAAGCAGAAAACATAAGTTGAGCACTCCGTAGGACGCCGCCACTTGTACTTTTAGGAAGATAGTCAACTGTGGGATGAAGAATTGAAGACTTCAGTAAGTAGGAAAACCAAACACGAGCAGTAGTATGCATGTAGAATTAACGGAATATTTAAATTGTCTAAATGAGTCTGTTTGTGATTTTGCAGTAATGTTATTTATAGGCTGCTTTGGCTGATTTTTCTTCTTCGGTTTCCAGAGCGTTTGTGTCATCATGTCGAAACCAATGGATCACGTTAAACGCCCGATGAATGCTTTCATGGTTTGGTCCAGAGCCCAGCGCAGAAAAATGGCTCAGGAGAACCCAAAAATGCACAACTCGGAGATCAGCAAGAGACTGGGAGCGGAGTGGAAACTTCTCACCGAGTCTGAGAAAAGGCCATTCATCGACGAAGCCAAACGACTGCGGGCGATGCACATGAAGGAGCACCCAGACTATAAATACAGACCGAGACGGAAGCCCAAGACTCTGATGAAAAAAGATAAGTTTTCTTTCCCTGTGCCCTATAATCTCGGGGAGCACGACGCACTCAAAGTTAACGGGCTTACCACAGGAGCACTTTCCGAGTCTGTCGTTGGGAACCCTGATAAGGCTGCAGCGGCTGCAGCCGCCGCAGGCGCCAGGGGGGGTCTTAAACCCCCCGCCGCAGCAGCGAGGGTGTTCTTCAACCCGTCCATGTCTACGAACCCATATTCCTTTTTCGACCTGGGATCCAAGATGACTGAGCTTTCCCCTCCTTCGTTTCCGTACGCGTCTCCGCTGGGGTACCCGCCCGGAGGCGCCACGGCTTTCACCGGGACAGGCGGTGTGGGTGGCGGGACGCACACCCACACTCACTCACATCCGTCCCCGGGAAACCCGGGATATATGATTCCTTGTAACTGTACGGCCTGGCCCTCGGCAGGACTCCAGCCGCCCTTAGCATACATCCTGCTTCCCGGGATGGGAAAACCTCAACTTGAACCGTACCCTGCATATGCTGCGGCATTATGATAGCCCCTGTCTGGACTTCTAAGAAAACGAAATGTGAAAAAAGAAACAAACAAACAAAAGCTATTCATGCAAGAGTTTTATTATGCATGCACAAACTTGTACATGTGATGAAGTGCTCGTTGTCTCAGATATCACATGTGTATGTATATTGATTAATGCCTTTATCTAAGGTAATGCTTATTTAGAGAACTCTCTAATCTATTACTACCCAGCCATCAACTCTCACAACCCAAAGAGGGAAAAAGGACTAAAGGATGGCAGACGCGCATAATTAGAGAGGAAATGGTTTGCAGTTTGTGAAAACACATTTTAAAGGTACCCTGTCCGATTTCTATCTTTTCCAAGTTGCACCTGCTTGGCTAACCTGTCCTCTCAGATAAGTTCCAGTAAGGTTCATGGATCAAGGAGGAATGTCACAACATCCCCCCCATCTTGAATGACTGTAAATGTGTACAGGTAAAATGACTAGTTTATTTGCCGTTATAGGCTTAGTGTCTGAGATTTAGGGCCAGGAACCTACGTAGAAATCCGGTGTATATTTTGAGTTTTTAAACCGTTTTATAGATGTCTGTAATATTTATTGTTTAGTGGAATCTATGGTGACCCAGACAATTTTAAAAAGGACAAGACTAGTTCTGTAATATTTGCACATGAAATGTAGATGATGTAATTTATTTTGGAAGGTGATATTCAATTTCACTGCATCGCAGCTTCCAAGTTTGATTGACCAGAACTTTTTTTTCTAAACGGTTTAAAAAAATAATTCGAATTTAACTGCAGATTTATTCAAGGACCTTATATCATTTATCTCCCAACCTCCCTCCCCCCGTATCATGTGCAGCATAAAGAAGAAGAAGAAGAAGCATTTTTAACTCACTTTTATGGAATTTGTGTGTTGTGTTTTCTATAATCTCCGTTATGTACTTCAGCCTATTGCAACTGTTCACTTGTTGAGCAATGGACTACAATAAAGCGTATTCGGATTAAAACGGAAGGGAATCGCGGCTGTAGTTCTTGTTGAGATGAACAAGATTGTTATCTGTTCTGTTCCTGCTCCTGCTCCCCAGTCCAGGTGAAGTGTAAGGTATCCTCCAAAGGCCGCTTTTGTCCGCGCGTTGAATGGCACTGCTGGGGGAAATCTAAATCAGCCCATTGTAATCAAGAGCCAAAACCTTATTTATCACATTTTTAATCGTGAATAGGAAGGAAGATAAAACTGTGTGGTACTCTGAGCCCCCTTTTCCCAGGAAAAAAAAACTAGGGGGGCAGCTGCTTTTTAGGCTGCAGAACAAGCTCGTCTTTGAGGCTTTAAAACGATCTGAGATGAGTCTCTGCGCTTCCAAGTCTGAAAACAAACGCATTTCATATCTATAATCACCTGTTCTTAAGACGCTCCCACGTGCGCGTGCGTGTAGCCAGTGTGTATGTGCATGCTTCCTTATTAGATCTGTTCGTTGTTTAAGATGCCACTCCTAGATTACGCAGAGAGATTAATTCATAAGGACCAGAGCGATTATGCAAAACTAATTTGGACAGTCCAGGGATAATTATCTCCGTCACGGTTAATTAAACCCTTTCCCCACCATGTTCTCCATTGTGACACCCCGATCACTTCTCTCCACGGAACTTCCTTCTTGGCCCCGAAAATAACGCGCATGTGAACTTGAGCTCCAGGTTTAATCGGTGAACTGTCAGAACTGGTGATATTCATGTTCAAATATCCAAAACATTTGGGCACATTTTGACGAACTAACGTTGGTTCTCTGTGACTCTGGAGAATTGTACACATTTTAATTTTATCTGTTAACTGTTATCGGTATTTTTTTGCCATGCAAACAAAATAAAACTGATTTGAATCTTTGAATAACATAAGATGTAAACGATACAGGCGGTTTCAAACTGATTTTGGGGTTTGATTAAAGGGCAAAGCTGTCTCATCAAGACACAGAAGGTCGTCAAGTCTGCATTACGAGCTCACTGGCGATTTCTTTCTCTTTGTTTGGCCTTTTTTTATTATATTTTTTTTCTTGAGGAAAGGGGGGAAGAAAGCTGAAAGAACTTTTTTCAACTCTGGGAGCGTTTAGACGGTCGAGGAGGTTTTGTCTGGGAACAAAACGTGGGTTGGGAGGTTTTGTGAGAGTGTTGTTTGTTGAAGTGGAGCTCAGCAAAAGCGGCTGCTTTCTCTCATTGTGGTGAAAGCAATCAGTGGTATTTGGAAAACTGTTAGCATTGTGCACTTCTTCTGTGTCCATTGTGGAGGATTTCTTTTCACAAGGTTTTTTTTTTCAGCCGATCCAGCTGGCCGGAGTGAATAGCACTGCAATGTGTACACGCTTTGTCCCTCCAAGCCCTTCAAGTAGCCCACGTTGAATAGAGTGAGTTGACACTGCATGACAGTGAAACAACATAATAAAAAATACATGAGCACATGAATAGAAGCAGGCGCATAAATAAATAAAATGGGTGGCCAAAACTGGATAAACTGAATGACAAAACGGTGAAAGGGGAACAAAAAGATATTTAACACGCTAGATTAGCATTAGAATGCAATCTACAAGCCAGAACAATTGATGAATAGGTTTACCGGCCAAGAAAGAAATGGACTAAATGCCTTTTGAATAGGTAGCCTGTGTTTTTTTTTCTGTCTAAGACGGGAGATGAATGAGAAAGGTGGAAATGTATCTATGGGAATAAATGGGAGAAAACTTTTTACTATTAAATTATTTTCATTTTTGATTCCAAGACTCTCAGTACATCATGGGCAATAGAATATGATTCCCTAGATGAGATAATAATGTTTTTGTAATTCTTGTAAAATGGTTTATTAAACCAAACTAAATAAATGCCTCAACAGAAGTCATGGGTTTCACTATGTGAGTTGGACTTTTCTTCAATTTTGTGTTCTCATCTCATACAGTCCTAAGTTTTATAATAGTAATAATCAAAGGATAACTTTTGAAACGAATGCCTGCATTGGTCAATTAATCTAAATGTTTGTAATTCACAGAGCTATTCTAATGTGAATAAGTTTTAGTGGCTGAGTATAGATGATGGGTGATGCGCATCTGACCCTGATAGAAAAACAAAGATGTGAAGGTTCTGAACAATATGAACATTTGGCAAAAACGCCGGATAAACTCCAGTGGTTGTTTGGATTAAATGATGACAAATTAATTCAGCACATTCAAACCAGTAAAGGGACTGCAGGTCCAGTTCCAGTGACTTTTTCTTGGCATTTGGGCGACGTTGAGGTGATCGCCTACAAAAGCAGCCTGTTATTCATTTTATTTAGACATTTGTTTCATTCAGAAAAAAAATAGGCAGTAGAGTTTTAAAATTATTACCTTGTTAAGAAGTTTACATAGAAGCTTTATTCAATACCACATGCAAAGAAACACTGCACCACAGTATTTTAAATTCAAATGATCCAAACAGTTTATTCACCTCAGGAATATTGTAGATAGAAAATCAGTAAATCCTAAGAATTTAGTAAATATTTAAATCTCAGCAACACGTCTCTTAGTGTTTTACAGTATATCGACAGCAGATGCAAAGGGTAAAGCAGTGGTTGCCTCATGTTTTCATAAGCTCCCTCCCATCTGATGCCCTGATATCATTATGTCTAAGTGTTAAACCCTTTATGTGCCTGTAAGACATTTGTAGAAGTGAGATTAGGCAAATTAACATACATATGTATCACCAGTTCAACCATGTTGACCTTAGAGGGATGTACAATGGTTTCCTCATCCCTAATTCGCCCAGGGCTGCCCCACCAGCATGTGGATTATCACCTGGCTTCAATGGCTTCAGATGGATCATTTTAGTATTTTTTTCTGATATGAATAATACATCAGTATCACCTCTTTGAGGGTGTTTTCGTCTGTTTGTTTGCAGGAGCCTGCTTCTTGCTTACCTGGTCGACATATGTACTGTCTACAATGTTGGGAGATATGTAGCCACTGCTGGCTTCTCAGTGAGGAGCCTCAAAGAGTCTGATCTCTGACTTCTCCATCTCATTTTAGGCAAATCAAAGTGTGAAAAGTCTCTCCTGAAGCGATATAGCCATCATCAGGTTGGGTCAAGAATGTTTATGATGGCTGTGTGCCATATTACCTGTAACCTCCAGAGTATGAACTGCTGTATTTCTTACAAGTCTATGTTCCCAGGAGGGGGAAAAAGCCAGAATTATCTTGCATCACACCTTTTCCGCAACCACTTAATGTCACAAATCAAAGCTTCAAAACCATAGGCGTCACTGTGCCCAAGGTCACCAGGAGAAATGAGAAAGCTCTGTGTACTGTACAGTCCATCCTTCTAAACATGCCACGCGGCCTCTGAAGTCTGACTCTGCTTTTAAGAAGTTCAAGTTTGCTTCATAGTACAAAACGCAGTACGTCAACGGACCCTGCTGGAGTTCAGAGAACAAATGCTTGAATGAGGTTGGTGGGGGTGATGGGATGTGGGGTACCTGAGGTAATCATGAGTTTTATAGGTGAGATGAATGAACTGCTCTCATAGGTTGTTTGTCATGAAGACAATATTAACTATATACACACACAAATATAAAATATGTATAAAACATAGATATCTGACTTTTACAACCTGACTGAAACTAATGCAATTCTACTTTGAAACATCCTTTTGTGCAAACACAGTGGACTTGTTGCTGACGTTAATTTATAACATGTTATAATTTTGCATGTACAGCAGATTACTTAACCCTGTTCCTCTGTTTGGGGTCTTAGAGAACACAGGCCCGCTTTAAAAGCTCAAAAAACACACTTACATAACACAACTAATACTTATTATGAATTTTCCTAAGTTTAGAGAACTGTTTTTGACACAAAATATTATAAATGTCCAGAAAAATGTGTTGGTTTGTTTTGTTTGGGTTTTCAGCTGCTGTTAAATACAATAAGGTTTTCTATTCTTTAGCACCACTCCTCCATAATCCCTGATACAGTAGGTCTATACACAAACAGCTGTCAGAATTTCTGTGATCCGAGTTTTATAACAACTCTAACAGAGCCAATGAAACCTCTCTGGGGTCTAACTGACCATGTATTTATATGTCTCTTAAAAATCAAATACCTTTTGTCACGTATAGCTCGTACATATAGTGGATACATAACACATTTCCTTTTTGACACAGTAACAGTGATTTATGTTCATTTCCATGTTTCATAGCCTTCCTTAAAACCAACCAATGGGAAGGGTTACCACTTCACATAATTGGTTTAATAAGGTCATATGTAAAAAACACATACACACACAAACACACACAAACAAGAGTTAAGTTTTCTCATCAGATTATTGAAGTCTTAGTGAAATAAATTAACCATTGAGCCCCCATTTTCTTTTTACATCGGTCTTCATACAGTTTGTAGCCTTCCTGTTGAGATCTGTTATAAAAAGCAACCTCAGGTTTTTCTATCAGTCAGTTTAAAACTGAAGAAAATGCGTAAAGTGGGAAAAAGCCTCTGTTCTTAGTCCATCTGGCTCTAAAGCTCCCACTGCTGTTTAAAGAAACTCACTGCACTAATAGTTTTATATTCAGTGTCATAAAGAGCATTATTTTCCAAGCAGTGTTGGCACATGACAAAGCCTGGTTTAGAACTATACAATCTGAGAATACACACATTTATAAACTTCAGGAAAAAGAAGAAGAAGTACAGATGTTGTGTGCCGACACAATCAAATGTTTGACAAGATTAGACTTTTTCAAAAAGATCACACTGAAAAATCATTAAGTTAATAACCCAAAACACCAGGCACAGGATTATTCTATGAATCCATCAATAAATTAGAATAATGTCAGCGAGCAGCCTTTAGAAAATGTTCCTTAAACTGACGTGACATTTTTTTGTTCTGTTTCCAAATGACCGCTGGCAGAGATGGCTGGCTCTCATATTAATTCTCAGGTTTTCAAGGAAAAATATATCTATCATGAGTAGAAATAATGAAGTTGAAGAGCTGATGCCCTGAGGAGCAGTCACAAAGAATTATATCTTTCTATAACACAGGACACAGGCAAAAGATAAGTACCTGTCAGTTGGCATACTCTCTGCTACATGTGCCTATCAATAAAAGAGATTATTTCCCCCCAGTTATTACAACAAAGATCTGGGGGGCTCGAAGATTGCACCTTTAATGAGAAGGAATGATTTCCTCCTGCACACTCACAACCACACTTGAAGTGAGTGAGCTGTAATACCATCAATTTTTCCTCTCTCTCTCTCTCGATTTTACAAGAACTTATTAAAATGAAATATTACCGGCATTAATTCACAGGGATTATTTATTACATTCTAACAGGATTATGGTGTGCAAGGCTTGATTTGGGATTCACACCCTGTATTGTGATATCGTGGTTTAGCAGTCAAATTCTGCAGACTTGTTGTAATTAACAGCGGCAAAATAGATCATTTCCAGATGATATATGGCTCCATAACTAATCTTTGTGTGCCAAAATGCTGGAATCCTGAAGAATGTATTCAGTGGATGGATGGAAGCCTGAGTGGAGGATGGCTTGTCATTCTGCTTGCAGGACTTTTCTGTTAGTTCACATTGCAAAAGGTGATTTCTTCATAGCTGTTTATGCTGTCAGCGTCACTTGTAGTTCTTGTTTAATAGAGCTGATGCCGATCTCAGTTTTGCAGCCATGGTGTAACGCACTGGAACACCCGAGCTGATGTCTCAGTAATGACCGTATAGAGAATCCAAGTTTACATTCTTTGATGACAGTAAAGAAATAATTGGCATGGGCACCTTGTCGTATTCAGCAGAAAATCCAACACGTGCAAAACACGTCTTACCCTTAAAACATGGCTGGTTCATGAAACGTGCCATTAGTTATACTGATGAAGAGGCATGACTTCATACTTTAATTGAGGAAGTAATGTGAAGGTTCTCTGAACAAATCTATTATGAATGGTCCTACCACACATCACATGCAGGGGTCCTTCAGACATCCTATACTCTTTAGCCACATCATCATGTAGTCATAATGTGTTGTGCAAATTTTCCATGTTCTTTGTTACTGTGGAAAAGGGCTACATTGAAGGTAATAGCTTTTGAATATAGTATTTATACTTTCTTTGTTTGCTTGTGTATGGGAGAAAGGGGATCTATAAAAGGATCTGAAATAGGGAAAGCAATCAGAAGTCTGGCCTTCACTCTCATTATGCTGCTAACAAAAATGTTACAAGGCTAGGAACTGCAGACACAGAGACATCTCCCTCTCTCCCTCTCTCCCTCTCTGTCTTTTGAGCTGCCGAGAGGACCTCCTCTCTAAAGGTTTCTTTTTATTATCCCACATGTAAGTTATGTGGTTTCATTGACCCTCTTCTGCTAAGTGTCTAGGTTACCAACAGCAATAAAAAAAACCCCGTTATAATATAAATAAAGAACAGAAGCATACGACATTGAACTGTTGCTACATATGATGGATCCATGGAAAAGTCAGGAACTTTCAGGGTGGAAGTTGTTTGTTTAAAAATAATAATAAAATGGGGTCAAGTGGAACGGTGCCCCTTGACAGCCCTTTTCAAAATGCAGTGGATTCTGGGTATGGCATCCTTATTTTTTCCTCTTCAAAGAGATGGCACTCATATAAACTCTTGCAGGAGACACAAATGAACTTGAATGTCTAAAACCAAACCTCTGCACTTTGATATTACTGTCGACAGGTGTAAAAATATTCATAGCTAACACAGAGCAATCAGAAGAGATTTATGTATGTAGGACGCAAAAGAAATGCTGTGCTGATGCCTGGTGCTGTCAGGTCCGTTTTCGTGTTG